ACCCTCCTCCGCTCCTGTTTGGTTGAGGGTCGATCCGCTTCAATTTGTGCTCAGGATGTACAAGCGAAGTCCTTCCCATCTTGGAGGCAAAGGAGCAGCCAGGTATATATTTCCTATTCGTGAAGAAGTATTTTGCGTGGAATCAAATCCCTTAGAGAGCGACTAATCTGGAGAGAGATGGTAGCAACGAGAACATTAATATTTGGCTTGATTCTTGATTCCCACTGGAATGTGAAGAAGACATGCACACCTAGGGCCAGAAACATCATCAAGGGCTACTTTGGAAACTCAACGGCCTGTTCGCTTGGTCGTATTTAGGTTATAAGACATTGGTTTATCAGTCAATGAACAGTATATTTCTCTCACACCAAATTAGCCAACAATATTTGCAGCCATGGCTTATAAGCCAAACAAGCCCAAACGAACATGGCGCAAATCCCCTTGAGATCCCTGACATTTTTGGAAATCCATGTGAATATAATTTGAATAACCCATTCAGTTCTTCATGGAGGATTTTTCTTCCCTATTGTGCCTCCTTTTTTTTGAAATTAGCCCAAAATGAGTATTTGAATTAATTGATCGAGTCACTGTACAGTGGGACAAGCCAGCCTGTGAAAGATACTTTTTTGAGGAGGATGTGCAGCACATTGTGGCAATCCCTGTTAGACAAGACATGGATGATTTTTTTAGCATGACACTATGACAACAGAGGTATGTTCTCTGTAAAGTCAAGATATCACGTCCTAGGAAGAAAAAAATCAAAACAATTGCAGCAGCTGTCAGGAGAGACGTCTACAGCAAATGGTGCCGAATTCACTTTTGATTGGACCCCCAAAATTGAAACATTTTGTATGGCGGATTGCACATGGTAGCCTTCCCCTACGAACAATGGAAATGCTACGGAGAGGGCGTCCTGCAAGGCTGCAACAACAGTCCAATGGCATAATAATCGTAGCTCTCATCCACTCATCCCTAACCATAGTCTCTTGTCTCCATTCTCCAGAAAAAAACACCGCTGCTCGAGCGGACACGCTTCGCTGCGACCACGCTCCGTTGTGTCGCCTCGGCGTTCTCCACAACGGCTAGGGGCCCGACGGCCAGCATCTCCACCGCGCCCGAGTGCGGCCGCCCGCCTTCCTCCCTCTCCATCGTGCCTCCCGCCCGCCCACCTTCCTCCCTCTCCACCGCGCCTCTGCCCCTGTCGCGGCCTTCTCTAGCTGGTTGGCCGTCTTCTCCCACGGAGTAGCGATAGCTCGCGCTAGACCCGCCACGGCCTTCTCCACCGGAGCAGCGATAGCTCGTGCCAGCACGAGATCGGGAGCGCCACCATCCAGCGCCGCACCCCCATCCACCTCGCCTATCGCCGAAGGGGAGGCACGAGAGGCCTACGCCTACACCTGGGGACGCTTGCACTTGCACTTGCACCTACGTATGCAACCCCCATCCACCCCGCGTCGTCAGCAGGAAGGGGAGGCCTGCGCCACTGCAGTTCCCCACCAGGTAGGCCATGGCCGCCGGCGACGCTGTGTTTCAAGTGTTTTAGGACGTTTTCAGACATGTTGCAAGCCTATGTTCCAAATATTTCAGTTGTTTTATATGTATGTTTTAAGTGTTTCATACGGATGTTGCAAAAGTAGATCGGGATGTTGCATATGTTGCAATGGTTGTATAGATTTGTTGCAAGCATCTGTTCCCAATGTTTTATCTGTTTTCCAGACTATGTTGCAAGTGTATTTATCTGGATGTTGCATATGTTTTCACATATATGTTTCAAGTGTTTTATATGTATGTTGCGTAATATTTGCAATGGTTTTCAAGTGTTTTCAGATGTTTTTACAAGTGTTTTACAGGCACGTTTCAAGTGAAACATGTTTAAGTGTTCTATCTATCTTCTTTTATATATAAGTGTTGTATCTAAATATTTTAAAAGTAGATCGTGGTGTTGCACATGTGATATGTGTGGGAAGCGAAAGGGGGCGCGAGCAGTCCCCCACACGTGGTCTGACGGCGCGGGTGACATCCAGGGCGGCGCAGGCCCACTGCTGGGGCGCTCGCTCACAAGTCCGACGCTGATGGAGTAGCTCACTTGCTTGCTGCGCGGGCACCGTACGACGCTAGCACCCCGGATCGGATGTCTAGACTTTAGCAACCCTAGACGTCTAGACTCTAGCAACCCTACGTACAAATACAAGTCGGAGAGGTATGGATATAGATATTAGGTCTCCAGTCTATCAGAGGTTTGATGAGGATGAAGGCTACTTATTCCTGATGTATAAATTTGTTCGGCAGTGCCGGCTAGCCCTGAATTTGGAAACAAAAAATCAGTAATGGTCGAATGGAGCGCTAACTGTGCAACCTCCGCCGGACACGAGTGTTGCCCGTGCGGGCTGCGAAACCCTCCAGGCCTAGGAATCGTTCGAGGAAGATGACTCGCCTTCACACCGTGCATTGGGGTGTGTATCCTACCAACTCTGCCACTATTTGCCAGCCAGGTGTTTGATTTCCATAAAAAAAACTTCATTCGTTCCAAATTATAAGTCACTTTGAATTTTTTGATACATTCATTTTGATATATACAACTAGATATAATAATATGTCTAAATACATAGTAAAATGGATGAAAAAAAAAATCAAAATGGCTTATAATTTGGAACAATTATCGCTTATCAAAAAGTAACCTATTTTTTTACTTTAATCAAATATACATAAAAATATTAATATTTATGATATATATTTAATATCATTTAATAGATTGTTGATATTATCATAATAAGTTTATTTGGATATAAAAATGTTGCTGATATTTTTTATAAATCTAGTTAAATTAGAAAGTTTGACCAGAGTCCGGTAACTATTCCTTTTATGGGACGAAATAGTATGAAAGGAGGCAAATAGTGGCAATCACTTTCCGGTTTCACCGAGAGAAGAGAGAGAGAGAGAGAGAGAGAGAGAGAGAGAGAAAGTGCTAGGTCCGTAAAAGGAGGCGGACAGGTTAACACCGGCTAATGTTTGACGTTTCTACTTTTTGGTGGTATTTCACGTTAGTGTTTTTTAATGGTTATCTTTCAATGATACAAAACTAACTAATTTTCTCCTTATTGAAATCCCACGTACCCGACAATTCATTCTCTTGCGGATTTTCTAGGAAAAATTTTCTATAGATGAAACTCGGTAGATCCATTCAGTTAGCTTGGACAAACAGCCCCACATGTCAAGGGCATATTTGGTTGGCCAATCAAGAAGCCTTGCCTGCCAGATAGCAGCTCCAGACCATCGATTTTGGTCACTTGGTGGTTGGGATTGATGCCTGGTCAACAAGCTGCCTGCCAGGCTCCCAGCCAAACAGGAGGCTCTCGAGGGATTCGTGTGGCAGCAGGTTCCGACCAAAACCAACATCTAAATCTAAGGCCTTGTTTAGTTCGTGGTTAGGAATTAGTATTCGATACTGTAGTACGTTCGTTTGTATTTGATAATTATTGTCCAATCATGGTCTAACTAGGCTCAAAAGATTCGTCTCGTAATTTACAATCAAACTGTGTAATTAGTTATTTTTTTATCTATATTTAATACTCCATGCATGTGTTCAAAGATTTGATATGATGGAGAGAGAGTGAAAAAACTTGGAATCTAAACAAGGCCTAACTCACGGAAGCCATTGTATACCAAAATTTCATTGGAATTTTGAAACCACAAAATTTCGTTGGGATTGATGCCTAGCCCGCACTCCCTTTTCCACCCTAGGGAAAACCGAGCGCGAGCCTGCATGCCTTGTTGGGCCACAGCCCACATTAGGCCGAGGCCGGGTTAACCGCACCTCACCATCTCCATTATCCACGGGCCCATCTCGGCACAAGGCGCACGGCGCACCTCAGTCCTTCTCCCGTAAGCGGTAAGCAGCCGCCGCCGTGCTTCTCTCCATCGAGCGCCCGTGGCAGCCTTTGCCGCATTGCCGGCAGCACTCCCTCCTTTGCCATGCGCAGTAAGTAGTGCGTCGTCTCTCTCTCCGGCGTGCTCTGTCGTCAGCACATGGCCATGTCCGGCCGGCGGCTGTCCCAAATCCTAATGGTGAGAGTGAGATACGCGTTCCCCTGCCTAGTTGTTTCCTCAAGGCTCAAGTTGTATCTAACTGATTTCTTAGTTTCTTCTGAGTTAATTGGTAGACATGTCAAGGAGTGCTGGAACACTCTGCAATTTTGTTTAATTGTGCTTTTCTGGCGCACATGTGCTCACTTATGGAACAAGTCGGGAATCCGCATCTCCCAAAGTAAGAAAGAACCGTAGAGCTAGCTCCTGAACGCCTACTCTATGTCGTGTGTCCCGCCCGCTCTGATTCACATCTCCGTTTCCCGTGGAACGCGCCAAATTACAGCACGAGGAGGCGGTGGGAAAGGAAACCACCTCCGTGCGTATAGCACTGCAGCTATATGCGCGCGCTTTTTACTCCACCGTCCGTTCCCAGCCTCGCCTGGCGTGTGCGTGCCGACTGCTGACTGCGCTGCCGAGGAAGAAGGCCACGCGGGGACCGCCCGCGCCGCCTGCCCACATGCGAGACCGCACGGACACAGGAATCCATGTGCCCCTCCAAACGTAACTCTGAAACATGAAACACTCAACATAAAACAAATACAATATACGTCTAAAACAATTGAAACATGCACTTACAACATGTGCAATATCTAGATAAAACACTTACAACATACATCTGAAACAAATGAAATATTTTTATACACGTATTGCAACGTCTAGACGTATTTTTGCACCATCCCGGTAAACAATTTGCAACATCCTGTGCTTGCAAGAAAGAAAAAAGATTGGCGTTCCCGCTCCTTCACTGCAACAAAAATCCTTGTTTCGACGAGCTTTTGCGGGAGCTAGCTCCATTGACTTGTCTCGCCAACGAGCTGCCATTTCCTACTCCTGTGTCTTGCGGCGGCGGACGGCCGGTAAGCCATCCCTGTGCTTGCAAGCCCTCCCGATCCAAGTCGCTGTCGTGGTAGTCGTCAGGGAAGCTCTCCGTGGCATCGCGATATGCTTTTGACGGACGACCACAGGAGCTCCTTCTTCCGGTCCTCCAGCCGCGGGAACCCGCAGCGCGTCTCCCCGAACGCGTCGCAGTACTCCAAGTCGAAGATGTCGTGCGTCAGGCGCTTGGGCACGCCGGCCGCCTCCCTCGCGCGGTTGTACTCCTCCGCGGCGCGTGCCATCTCGGCCTCCGGCGGCAGCGTCCGCCGGCCGGACAGCACCTGCGCCACCCACATCGCCTGCGCCTCGTAGAATCGCGGCACGACTACCCTCTTGGGTACGCCCACAAAGGAGAGCGCCGGCGCCAGCGCCGGCGGGAACGTGTGCTTGTACGGTTGTCGTCGACGGTGACGGTGACCAGACCTCCCGTGTCCAGGAACGGGAACGAGTAGTCGTACCTTCGATTCAGACGATTTCATTAGCAATCAGCTGGCAATCTCAAGTGCTGTCAGTTGTCACCTGTGCGCTGTGGCTGCGCTCACCCGGTGCAGTAGATGATGGCGTCGGCGACAATGGAGGAGCCGTCGGCGAACACCACCTGCCCGTCCTCGCACAAGCAATCGATCTACATAAACACAAGCATTCTTGTCGGATTAATTAGATGTATATGTATGTTGTTCATGCATGTCCATGAATGAGCAGAAACTTGCCTGGAGGTGGAGATGCAGGTTGTGGTGCCTGGACACAGCTTGCCTCATGCCGGGGAACACGGTGACGCCGTCGTCCATGGACTTGACGCTGATGTGCACATCTCTCGCCGCCTCGCGGAGCTCCAGCGCGATGTCCGTGCCGCTCGGGCGGCATCCGACCACCACCACCACTTGGTCCTTGAACGAGTCCGGAGCCCGGTACGAGTGCGAATGCAGCTGCCTCCTGCTCCACTTGTCCATGCCTACACTAGCAGTAGCAGATCATTGGCAAATTCAGTTGTCCACGCTGATGTGTTGATCAGTTGACCAAGAACACAAATTCAGTTCGACAGCGAGGAGGAGCAAAAGGAATCTCAAATCGATTTACCATCCTTCGCAATCAGTGCACGCAATGATATATTGGCAACGACTTACTCGATTCGAACCTACCGTTGATTGCAGGGAGCCTTGGCTGGTTGTGTTGACCGACGGCGACGACGACGGCGTCGAACACCTCCTCCGCGGTGACCGCGTCGCCCTCACATCCACCACGTCTCGACGAGCACCTCACCGTCCACCGCGGCACGCCGCCGTCGTGGCCTCGCGGCGCCAACGGGCCGACGTGCAGGATCTTGGTGTTGAACCTGACGACGTCCATGAGCCCGAACGCGTCGCAGAAGTCCCTGATGTACCTCAGGAACTCGCCGTGCACCGGGTACCGCCGGGCGTCGACGCCGGCGCCGTCGTTGCTGGGGAAGAAGGGGAAGTCGGAGAAACCCATGCTCTCCCTGGGCGTGTTGAGCCGGAGAGAGGCGTAGATGCTGCCCTGTGCGCGCCGGCCACGCCGGGGGTCGTCGCCGTCGGTCCTCGGGTCGTATAGCCACTGCCCGCCGACGCCGCCGCTCTGCTCCATGACCGTCACGTCGTGGCCCTCGCGGCGGAGCTCGCGGGCGGATACCAGCCCCGAGACTCCGGCGCCCACCACGCACACCTTCTTCTTCTTGGACGACACCATCTCGCATTCGCGGAGCCGATGGACCTGCAGACATGCTACTCGTTTGATATATTGGCTGGTCGCGCGTCCAGTCACGGATGCGGTCTTCAACTGCTCTGCTATTGTTGTAGGTTTCGCCTCTGCTCCTCCCACTATGTGCTGCCTGGCAAACGGAGCTCACCTAGACGTCCGTGGGGATCGGAGGAGATCGATGCCCGATGTCGCTCCTGCCTGCGAGGCGCCGAACTAAACAGGAGGCTCTCCAGGATTCCTGTGGCTACAGGTTCTGGCCCTAGAGAATTTTCAAACCACGAATTTGAAACTTTTTGTTAAAAAGGACGGCAAGAGCTGTATCATTATTTTTATCGGGAGGGCTAGCGTCCGGACGGGATGGCGTGTCCGAACGCAGCTCACGGGCCTCCTTTATCACGCGCCTGCGGGGAAAACGGCTCGCTCGCCCACGCCACAAGGACCACCCGAGCCTGCTCCGCTTTCATGTGCCCGCATGCACACGCAGCAGCAGCAGCACCGGCAGGTGGCATGCACATAGCACCAACACACGGCACGGTGACCCATGCAACAGCAATAGCAGCATACTTTTGAAACATATAGTGACCCACGCCCACATGCACACACGCAATAGCAGCACGAGCAGGCGGCATGGTCATGCGCCTGCATGAACGCAACACCAGGCGCACGTGTGGGGAACACCAGGCACAAGCAGGCGCCATGGTCATGCAGGCCCACACCAGGCACCCACGTAGCAACAGCACCACACAATTGCAACCTGTGCTCTTCTTGAGATCTAATTTTGAAACATCCAAATAAAATACTTGTAACATATGTCACATAAAATACTTGAAACATGCTTGTATAGCCATAGCAACATATGCAACATCAAGATCTACTTTTGCAACATTCAGATAAAATACTTGCTACATAAGTCTGAAACACTCGAAAACATACACTTGAAACATGCGTGTATAGCCATAGAACATATGCAACATCTCGATGAAACTCTTGAACATACGTCTGAAACACGTGAAACACCTGAAACATAAGCTTGCAACATGCGTATATTATCATCGCAACATATGCAACGTCTTATATATACTTTTGTAACATACAGATGCAACACTTGAAAACATAAGTCTGAAACGCCTAAAACATTTGAATCAAGACGTCGCCAGTAGCCACAGCCTACTTGGTGGGGAACTATGGTAGCCAACAACCTCGGGTTAGGGCCTCAGGGGGACTGAAAGCATCTAGAACCCTAGTTAGATTTCGGTGATTAATGATAATACAAGATTACTATGACTAACGTGTGTTTTGCAGAGACAATTAAGTTAGGTCATGGTAATAGAGATCGATTAGGCAATCATGGTGGTCATGCCCCTATGATGGAAATCGTTCGGTTTCCAAAGGATGGACGACAAGGTTAAGGATGGACTAGTTCTAAGTGTCGTTTGGTGTTGAAGAGACACTTAGAGTAGTTTAGGACTTTGTTTTTCCTTTGGCCGTACTATTAAGAGGGTATGGACGGGTAGCTTGATCTAGGTGAGTCTAGTGGGTTAGGGATGGTGCACACTTGCTAAATCTAGCACTAGGTAGCTCCTAAAAAGCCCTTAGATCCATTGGAGCAAACTTCATTCACGTATGATTGAGAGTTGAAAGTGAATAGAGGGTTAAATACTGACCGGACGCTAGTTCCGGTGTGACCGGACGCTGGCGCAGAGTCCGGTCAGTTCATTTGACCGAGGTGATTTCGTCTGGTGCGATCAGACACTGAAGAGGTGAGTGACCGGACGCTGGGTCCCAGCGTCCAGTCGACTCCAGTAAGGTTCCAGAGAGGGAAAATCACGACCGGACGCATCCGGTCAGTGTCCGGTCACAACTTAAACACTGGAGTTCGGGGAGAACTGACCGGAGCGTCCGGTCAACATGACCGGAGCGTCCGGTCACCCCGCAGAGGCACATAACGGTTCGTTTTTCAACCAAGGTTATAAATATTTCATTCATTCGTGTGAGGAGGTACTTTTGCTCATTTCAACAGCTGAGAAACACCTTTGAGAGTGCCAAGAAGAGCAAGGTCCTAGTGAGGTGATTGAGATTTAAGAAACCCAAAGAGAGCCCTCATTAGTGAAAGCAAGAGTAGGAAAGTGTGCATCCACCCTTCTCATTAGGCTTGTCGTGGTCAAGTGAGAGTTCGTGCTTATTACTCTTGGTGATCACCATCATCTAGATGGCTTGGTGGTGATTGGGAGCTTGGTGATCATCCGGCGGAGCTTGTGGATAACCCAACTCAAGTTGTAAGCAGTTATGGGTGATTCACCGCGACGGAGTGTCAAAGAATCAACTCGTAGAGAGTACTTGATCCTTGTGCGGATCAAGGAGGAGCTACACCCTTGCGCAGGTGCTCCAACGAGGACTAGTAGGGAGTGGCGACTCTCCGATACCTCGGTAAAACATCGCCGCATTCCTCCCTCTCTCTTTACTTTGAGCATTTACTTTGAGCAATTCAATTCTTGTTATATACATTCATAGAATTGTCATACTAGAGTAGGATTGGAACATAGGTTGCTAAACTTTTGTGCGGTAGATCAATAGAAACACTTTCTAGGTATAAGAGGTTAATTGGGCTACCCGTAGGACTTAATTATTACAAAGAAATTTAGAATTAGCCCAATTCACCCCTTCTCTTGGGCATCTTGATCCTTTCAATTGATATCAGAGCCTCGTGCTCACATATTTAGGCTTAACCGCCTAATGAAAGATGTCTCACGGGGATGGACCTCCTCCTATCTTTCAGGGGGATGATTTTTCTTATTGGAAAATCCGCATGGAGGCATATCTAGAAGCTCTAGATGTTGGAATACTTAGAGACGCCTCACAAGGCTTCCCAAAACCTCGGGATGCTACACACCTACAAGGCGATGAGGTGAATTACGAAAAATGGAATGCAAAGGCTCGAAACACCATCTTTAGAGGCCTTTGCAAAGATGTGTTCAACCGGGTGAGGAACCACAAAGACGCCCATGCACTATAGTCGGACGTTTGTGCGCTCCATGAGAAAACAAAGAGTGAGCGTGAGGAACGCTATCATCTTATCATAAAAAAGCTTAACTCTTTTGAGATGCTTCCTAAAGAATGTGCTAATGAAATGTACTCATGCTTGAATGTTCTTATAGAGGAAGTCAATGGGCTTGGACTCACTCAAATGCAACCATCTGATGTTGTAAGAAAGATCTTGAGTGTCCTCCCCATTGACAAATATGGGCATATTGTGACCATGCTTCATCAAGGTGATCTTTCCACCGCTACACCGACACAAATCTTGGGAAAGATCAATGCTCATGAGATGTGCATGCACATCACACCTCAAGATAGCTCATCCTCTAACAAGAAGAAAGACAAAGACCTCTAACAAGATGATCATTCTATCTCAAATGTGTTATATGTTGCTTTATTGAGCTTCAACTTGCTATCCGTTGGACAATTGTGTGATCTTGGCTTCCAATGCTTATTTACCAAGAAGGAAGTTGTTGTATCTAAGAAGGATGATAACCAAGTGATATTCAAAGGATTTAGATACAACAACCTATATCTAGTGGACTTCACCTCCGAAGATGCTAATTTGAAGACTTGCCTATTCACCAAAACAACACTTGGGTGGCTATGGCATAGAAGACTTGCTCATGTTGGGATGAGCTCACTCAAGAAGCTAATGAAGAATGATTTGGTGAGAGGATTGAAGGATGTGAAGTTTGAGAAGGACAAGCTTTGTAATGCATGTCAAGCCGGCAAGCAAGTTGCAAATACTCATCCAACAAAAGCTTTCATGTCAACCACAAGAGTGCTAGAACTCCTTCACATGGACTTATTGGACCAACAACATACAAGAGTTTGGGAGGAAATCTTTATTGTCTTGTGATTGTTGATGACTATTCAAGATACACATGGGTATTCTTCCTTCATGACAAATCCGAAGTTGCATCATGCTTTAAGAAGTTTGCCAAGAGAGCACAAAATGAGTTTGAAGTGAAGCTCAAAAAGATTAGAAGTGACAACGGTAAAGAATTTAACAACACAAACATTGAAGCCTATTGTGATGAAGTTGGGATCAAGCATGAGGTCTCCGTAACATATACTCCTCAACAAAATGGTGTAGTTGAGAGAAAGAACCGGACATTGATCACTATTGTAAGAACAATGCTAGATGAGTACAACACCCTCGAAGCTCTATGGGCGAAAGCTATCAACACCGCATGCTATGCATCCAACCGCTTATTCCTTCAAAAGTTTCTTGGCAAGACACCTTATGAGTTGCTCAATGGGAAGAAGCCGGACATCTTCTTCTTTAGGGTGTTTGGTTGCAAATGCTACATCTACAAGAAGCGACAACATCTAGGGAAGTTTCAAAGACGTTGTGATATTGGTTTTCTTGTTGGTTACTTATCAAAGTCTAAAGCATATAGAGTATTTAATTATATCACCGGCTTGGTTGAAGAAACATATGATGTGGAATTTGATGAATCTAACGACTCCCAAGGAGCACATGAGAATCTTGATGATGTGGGTGATGAACCATTGAGGGAGGCTATGAAGAACATTTTGGTTAGAGACATCAAGCCTCAAGATGATGAAGATGATGTACAAGTGATCAATCCACCTTCTTCATTAAATGTGCCACAAGATGATAAAAAAGATGGGAGAGTAGAAAATAAAGACACCCATGTCTTCCATGATCAAATGGTGGTACACGCATAAAATGTTGATGCTCCACAACCTCCTCCTCAAGTGGTCAATAGAAGAAACACACCTCTACTATAAGATCATCCATAAGATCTCATCATAGGGAGTCCATCAAATGATGTAATAACTCGCTCACAAAAATTTGCTTCATTTATTGCACATCACTCTTTTGTCTCTTGCTTTGAGGCTACTAAGGTAGAAGAAGCTCTTCAAGATCCGGATTGGATAAATGCCATATATAAATAGTTGAATAACTTCACCCGCAATGA